GGCGGCGGGGGCGGGGGGGGTTGAAGCAGCACTCATTTCCCTCCATCCTGTATGGTGCTGCTGTGCGCATTGCAATCTTCCTGGTGCCTGCTTTATCAGCAGTGCCTGAACCCCTGCCTCGCTGCTGCATCTGGTTTTGTATTTTCTTTCTATAAAGACGTTGCAGGACAGGGCTGGCTGTTCTGCTTCACGCTAACAACGCCCACTGGTCTAGGGCTTTGAAAGAAGCCTATGGGGTGCAGAAAATCATTAAATCTTTTCTTACTGTAGTATTGACTGCTACAAATCACCTCATTCTAGATAACCTTTTTGGGCTTTTCCTGCATTACTGTCAGACTGGAATAGAGTGAAACTAAAACATGCATGGCATTTCCCCTCCCCCATCACTCAACCCTCAATATAAACAGTCAAACTCCTCATTGTGATGCTTCATGCACCAGACTGGTCAGTTCAAAACCTTTGTAGCGTGGGGCTTGAACTGCTGTAGGTGTCAGTTACATCAGTGGTTTTCAAACTTTTCTGGTGACACAACTGAAGAAAATTGTTGATGCCCGCAATCCAATGGAACTGGGGATGAGGGGTTTGGGGTGCAGGAGGGGCTCAGGGCTGGGGCAGGGATTGGGGCCCAGGGTTGGGTTGTGGGCACAGCAGGGGTGCTAAGGCAGGTGGGAAACAGCTTATGGGAGGGTGGAGCCAGTGCCTTACAATCCATGACCCAGTACTGGGTCGTGACCCCCAGTTTGAAAACCACTGAGTTACATAGGGAAGAAATATATCACTATGGGAACAGGGTATCCAAGTTGGTCCCAATATTGCTGGGACGGAATGCACTGGATTTTGTGATGCAGTACAACATATTTTTTGAAGTTGTATTCTCTCTAGTCTCATTTTCCAAATTCCTCCTAAGTGCAGCAACCGGCTCCTGGAGCTTGTCAACAAAATATGTCAGCTCAGATCTAAAAGCATCCCACTTTGAAAGTTAAAAATAATGTAAGTACTGGGTAAAAAGAGACGGCAGTAGTTTGTATGCAGTCCAGCTCTCTGCAAAGCTCAAAACAAGGACTGCCTTATGGGTCCTGCATAGCACAACAGTGACCACACGCTGTGCATTTAACAAATAAATGACTAGATTTGCTTCCCCACTTGGAGAATTTTCTTATAGTGGGTGTTGTCCACTGCTTCTGCCCTCTTCTGGATTAAAGTGGATCTGCAGTGGAGTTTAGCAAAAGATTCTGCTAGTGCTGTGGTGTTAGTCTCTAAGGCTTGGTCTACACTACCCCCCCTAATTCGAACTAAGGTACGCAACTTCAGCTAAGTGAATAACGTAGCTGAAGTT